AAATCCCTTTCCTAGACTGTGCAACAACTTTGGAATGCTCAGCCTCTGCCTTCAATGTCCAGATTTGCAGACAGCCAGTGATTAAGAAAATGGAAAAGCCTCAGGCTTTCCAAGGGGCTGATCTTGCAGTTGTACACTCTCAGTAAGGTGCACATATCTCAGTTGATAAGAGCACTAGACTAGCATGTGAGGTCCTGGGTTCCATCTTCAGCACTGGGGGAAAAAAGTGGGGTAAGGTTGCAACTGAGGGCTCAGTCAGCATCTGCACCCTGACCCCTACCCCCAAAGATGAAACTCTGCAGTGTCTCCCCCTGCCTGGGGGATGCAGAAGTCACATCAGTGCCCCAGACTCTAATGGCCCAGCTGCCCCTCTAAATAGTTATTTCTTGGGGATTCAAATTTTAATTGTACCTTCTGCTGCCAGCTCATCTGTTTACTGATTCTATAAGATACGTGCCATTGTCAGGTAGGTCATCAAATCTGTATCCTCATGTGTTGGGAGCCACTCAAGTCTTTTCCCTTCCTACTCAGGTGCTTCCTTGCTGATGCCTGTTTCCCTAGTGGCATCTATAAAACACTGGAGTCCCTATAGCTTCCAGGCCCATACCTAGAGTCACATGTGTCTCATGCAGAGTTGGGGACAGTGGCCTTCTCCCAGCCCAAGCTTGTCTTTACCACCTGCAGACTCACAGCTGGGACAGTTTTTCCAGCAGCATTCTTGAGCACACAACCTGTTCCATTGCCCCCAGCCTCAGTTTCTCCATGTATGCATGAACAGGTCAATAGACTGCAATAGACTCTCCTGCGCCTCCCTAAGTGTCTGCATTTGTGGCAGCTGCAGGAGGCAATGTGTAGAAAGGAGCAAAAGAAAACCAACAAGAAAAAATATCTGGGCAGGGGCCTGGTTCTGAAAGGTTTTTTCTGAAGCCAAGCAGGAGGTGGACCAATCTGCTTGAGGTCCAAATGCCCTGGGGCCACCAAGACTGCCTGCCCAGTGGTTCAGCATGTCAGGCCAACTATCCTTGAACCTTAGAAACCACGAACTGACCATGAAAGGATCCAAAATGCACCAGCCATGTGATCTTGGCCCAGCCTTTCACCTGGCTTAGTTTAGCCTTGGGCTCTCACCTGTACAGTGACACTGGCACCTTCTTCAGAGGACTGTCAGGAAAATAGATGAGTTCACTGGATGAGAAGTAAAAGATCTGAAGCAAAAGGATCCCAAGTTCATGTTCACTAGATGAGTAGCCTGGCAATCAGTAGATGCTGAACCAAGGTTGCTGCCTTTACCGGGCTCTCAGCCCTTCATGGCCTCATGAAGGATGGTCCTTTCCACCTTCTCCCACTTGCACCTCCTTGTGTGTGTCTGGCCTCTGAGTTTGCAGAATCTGAAGAGTAGGATCCTCATGGTCAGCATGGAGCCCAGATCTGGCACATTCCCCCTCTGCCAAGGCCTCTGTTAGCCAAGCATAGCCAGCCTCAATGACTATCTCCCTGCAGTGGAGGAGAAAGAAGGTTAGAAAGTGCCATCTCAATCACTTGTGCCCATGAAACCAGGTGGGTCTGCGTCTCCTCCAAGCTGTAGAGCTTGGTGGACTTGAGGAGGGACTGAGGTTTCCTTACCCATCTACACTCCCCCCCTTCTCTTCTTCCTTCTCTCAACCACCATTACCTGGCTCCACCCTGTGCTGGGAGGTGGGGTCATGGGGCTGCACAAAAGGCAGACTGCACACCCTGGTGCACTCTTCTCTGTTGGAGGAGGAGTCAAGCATAGCAAGAAGGGCAAATGGAAGAGAGGCTAGGCACTGGAGGAGCAGGTGCCTGGTATCAATGAGGATGCAAGCTAGGTTGGAAGTGGGGGAAGAAGAGTGTGACAGGGCAGATACCAGACCCGAGATGGGATCTGGCTTAGTTCCATGGGTACCAGTGTTGCCTGATGATTGGGAGATGAGTGTGGGTTCCAGCCTGTTGCCTCTCAGTGGAGCTGAGTGTTTCAGTCTGAATCTCACAAGGAAGGGTAGAGCCATTGTCCATTGTGAGTTAATCCCACAGAACCCTCTAGAACCTAGTTTGGATTAGCCCTAGAGTGGGGTTCACCAGCGGCCTCCTTCTCTTTTTCAACTTGGGCCTTTTCTGTTGGGAATCATGTCCAGCCTGGCGGGGCTGTACCCCCGCCTGCTAGGAGCTTTATCCAAAGGCCCTGGGAGGGGGACACCCTGCCTCGGCAGCTGCCCGCCCTGCTAGGATCCCTCTCCATTGGGCCTGCTGCCTAACCATGCCACCCAAGAGAAACATGCAGTTGTACCCATTCAGTCAGCCACCTCAGCAAAGGCAAATGTGGCTTACATTACCCAGACAAGGAATTTTCACAGGAGTACCCAGTAATGACCATTAGCAAGTCTCAGAGCTAGTTTCACATCAAGTCCCAGCAGAGCCTGTCTTATTCTACTACTTATGGCCCCTTTTCCTCCAAACCTCACACCTCAGCCTCTGTGGCCTGGTAAAAGCCCTGAGGCCCCAGGGGTAAAAGCTGGATCCTTTCCTTCTGACGAGCAAGGAGCATGATGCCAAGCATGTGTTCCCATATCCTCGTGTACCCTAAAAACAGATGTGTCTAAAGAGGAGAAAAGGCCACCCAAATATGCTGACCAAACCCCACCCCCATACCAGGGCACAGTCATTTTGCATGGCAAGTTCAAGAGGCTCCCAGGCACAGTCAGTCCTGCATAGAGCACCAGGGAGGAGATGACCACAGCAGGCCTGAGATATGGGTGAGACGCTCACATGGAGATGTCAGGTTGACAATTGACCAAGCAGTGGGCATAGGTGTCACAGGCCTAGGCCTAGACTGTGGGCCTGAAAGCACCTTCTAAGCTGTGAATCCCATGCAGGTGAGAGGAGCCATTTGTGGGGCTGTCAGGATCCTGGCATCACAATGTCAACATCCTAGACACCCTAGGCAATTCCAGCCCAGACTCAGAAACCAGGGGCTGCGTTCAGGATGAGGGGAGACCAAGGGCTGTGGCACTGGCATGGGTTTTTGTCCCCAAAACTTACAGCTGCGAGATGGAGCACATTTTAAATTTTTAAGTTTGCCCTCAAGCCCTCAGCCCCCCAGGCTAGGGCTTGGTATAACACAGGTTTCTTGGTATAACAGCACCAAGAGTTCCTCCCTACCCAGATAAACCTCTCTCTATGTCCCTCACAAGCCCTCCCTCCTCCTGCCCAAGGCACCCCCTTAACAAAGGTCAGAAAGAGCCTGTGGCTCAGGGCTGTATCTGATTTTCTGTCCTGGGTGGACCAAGTCGGGATGTACAGTGGGTCTGACCACCCACTTGAAAACAGGGAGAAAAAGAAAGAAAACGAAGTTGGTTTTATTTTTTTTGTTGCTTTTGTTTTTGTTTTGCGGTACTGGGGCTTGAACTCAGAGCCTTCACCTTGAGCCACTCCACCAGCCCTATTTTTGTAAAGGATTTTTCAAGATAGGGTCTTGCAGAACTATTTGCCCAGGCTAGCTTTGAACTGCAATCCTCCTGATCTCTGCCTCCTGAGTAGCTAGGGTTACAGGCATGAGCCACCGGTGCCTGGCCAAAAGCAAACTTTTCCATGAACCATGAATCATGGATCTGATTCATGGCCAACCTCCTGCGTCTTCTCTGTGGTGGTTCTGGGGATTCTTGAGAGGTTTTGAGGTTGACCATGACAGCAAAGGGCAGTGCCTTGTAAGATAGTCACAACCTATCCTTCTGTGACCTCCAGAGCCTGGTGTGCAATGGTGGGCAAGATAGAGAGCCACAAAACATCTCTTAGAAAATTCAAGCTGATAACTACATACAACCTCACACATGTAGACCTTTTCCTGTAAAAAATGGGAGAACTGGGGAAGAAGAGGGACAGGCTGGGAGGAGAGGCAGGGCAAATGGCACTGGGAATGTTTGCTGTGAGCTATGTGAGGCGACAGGATGAGCGAGTGCCAGCAGAGGCCTCAGACCCACACTGCCACCGCACTACCCTGGGCGAGGACCCCAAACCTGGGGCGGAGGGCTAGCCAGGATTCCAGTACCCACAGTGCTCTCCTCCTTCAGCAGCCAGGTCACTGGGGTCTCGGAACTGATATGAGTAGAGGGCTGGAGGTGGAGGCAAATGGTCTGTGCCATAAATACAGCGAGGCCAGATGACTGGACACAGCAATGTGTAGCTGCGTGCCTGTGATCTGCCAAACGCATAAATGTAGAGGTAGCTTCCAGGGACGATGGGAAGGGAGGAGGTGGAACCTTCTGCAGAAGGACAGTGGATGGGTGGGTGGCATGGTGCCTGTTACTGCTGAATGTAAGCATTTGGAACACCACAATAGTGTCTGCATTGGTTGTTACTGTATTGGCTTTGTTGTTTTCTTTTCTGGAATACTAAAAAGCATTGATGAGAGCTTTTATTAAAAAAAAAAAAAAATCCCATTCCCAGCCTTATCTTGCTTCTAAGTCTGGAAGTTTCTCAGCTGCAACCTCTCCTGGGTCAAGAGTGTCTTGGGAGTAAACCAGGTAGGGTGGCTCACGCCTATAATCCCAACCTATAATCTACATGGATTGTGGAGATAGGAAGATCATGGCCCAAGGCCAGCCTGGGCAAAAGAGCAAGACCCCATCTCAACGAACAAAATAAAGCAAAAAGGCTCAAGTGGTAGAGTGATCACCTAGCAAGACCCTGAGCTCAAACCCAAGTATTGCAAAAAAAAAAAAAAAACTTTCCTAGAAGTAGGGGGAAGATTTGGGGATGAATAAGCAAACAGATGGTTCAGTAACAGAATGAGTGCATGAAGTGTGAGGAATCGACTTGCCAGCTGTGGAAAGGGGGCTTTGAGAGCCGGGGGTCCTCTTCCCTCCGCCAGCAGTGGGCAGCCTCGGGCAGGCTGCTCTGGGTGTTGCTGCAGGTGTGTGTGGCTGGGCTGTGCCCAAGCCCACTGCTTCCTTTCTCAACAAATGTATCCTTGTTATCTTGTCTAGGTGCCCCTGGACGGCGTGGCAAACCTGGACGAAGAGGCGACCCTGGTGAGTCCCACATTTTTTTAATTCCAAAGCTTGGGCTGGGAATTCCATCATGGACCCTGGACTCGGTAGGAGGTGCCAACCACCTACTCCCCACCTTCAGTCAGGTCCCTGGTCCCGGGTCAGCTCTTCCTTCCAGCCACTGTCCTTGAAGGACACAGTACCCACTACTGCCTTTTTTTTTTTTTTTACTTCTTGACATCCGTAATTCCCAGACTGACCTGTCAGTCCTCAGCCACCCTCTGAATCTGATTATGGACCTTTGCAAACTTCAATCCCTAGTCACCCACTCTGTAGAGAGGAGGCTTCCTCTCTACAGCAGTAGGTGGCGACTCAGCCAGCACCACCACCTCTACCACGGGTCCTCCCACACCATGCCATGGTTCCCCTGCACATCTCAGCCCCTCCTCAGACTTGGCCTCTCCTGCCCTTGGCAGAGCCATTAGGAGAAGGCTCCTTCACCTTCCTTCTGTGCAAGCCACAGACTCACTTGTTCTCACCACCATCTTCCTTCCCATCATCTTTATTTTGATGAATTCACCCTGCAGATTCACTGCATAGTTTGTCCTCTTCCCCCCAGATCTCAACATTGCCCCTAAGAGGCATCAACCCCACCCTCTCTGCGCTGCCTTCACATCCAAAGCCCCTCTGACATCATTTTGGCCAGTTACCAGTGACCTCTAATAGCCATACCAGCAGACATTTTGCTGTCTTTATCTTCCTACTTTCTTCTTTCCTTCCCTCCCATCCTCCCTCCTTCCTTCCCTCCTGCCTTCTGTCCCTCCCTCCATCCCTTCTTCCTTCCTTCATTCCCTCCCTCCTTCCTGCCTGCCTACCTTCCTTCCTTCAATAAGAAAAAGTCTCTTGGAATCCCAATCATGGCACAGCCCTCTGATGTTCATTTGCACTGCCTAGAACTAGAGATATCTACCACAGACGGATCATAATAACCTCAGCATCTGCTGAATGAGCCTAACGCTACTGATATGGGTAAGAGCGACATAGAACTGGGAGTGAAGCCAGTGCAGAATCTGCAAGTCAAATGAGCATCTGCTCCTAAGGTCTATAGAATCCTATTTTTTAAAGTTTGAGGGGGCAGGGGAATAGCGGAGAGCTGTGGAGGGGGTGAATTCAAGTATGATGTGTTTGATACATTTTAAGAACTTTTGTAAATACCACAGTGTACCCCCAGCCAGCACAACAATAAAGAAAAAAATAAAATAAAGAAGTGTGATAGGTTAATTATGGATATGTTGGAAGTCTCTTTCCCTAAATATCTGGTGCTGCTTCAAGAAAATGCTTCTAAGTTTTATATTCTTTGAGTTAATGATTCAGTTTATAAATTACCAAAATAGTATAAAACTGATTTCTCTTTAAAATAATATCTTTATCTTTCTGGATCCTCATTGTTGAACACTCTCCCTGCCCTGGGTATCTCTAGTTCCATTTTAAGCCAGGCCTTCCCCCCACCCCCCATCTCTGACCTCTACTTCTTTGCCTCTTTTATTGCCCCTCCCCCACTTCCATCTTAAATGTATCTGCCCTTGGCCACCTCCTCTTCTCTCCTCTCCTCTCCTCTCCTCTCCTTTCTACAGCCTCCTGGTCCTGGCTTCAGCTGCCCCCACGACACCAGTGATGCCCTCTCCCTATCTCCATCTCAGTCCTCCCCTCTGGGTCACAGAAATTAGACATTACCTTCTGAACCCAGCATCTCTCCCAGTCTTCCCCATCACATGAAGGAGACATCCAGCCACCTGCCTCCCTGTGCAGACAGTTGGCATTGTCCCTGACAATGCCATGCCATATCTTTGCCATGCCATTTCTCTGTTAGTTTCCTCAGTATCCCTCAGACCCATGCTGCTGCTTTATCTAAAGCCTGCAGCTCTCACCAACTACCCACTAATCCATGTCCCCCACGTCCAGCCTCACTGTGGATGTCCAGGGTTCTGTCACCTCTGAGCCTTAACTTTTGTCCTCCCCTGCTTCAAATGTCTCCTCCCTTTCTACCTGGACTCTTACTCCAAGTTCATGTCTCTTTGTCCTACAAGTCAAACTCATGTGGCTTCTCCAGAAAGCCTCTATAATCCCTTAGCCCAGTGCCCAGAGTGTAATCATGGGGCAATGAATCAGTGCATGAATGCCCATCCCTGAAGCAACTTCACAGGGAGGCACAGAGGTGAGGCCAGAGGGACCCACCACCAAGAAGACCCCCTGTTGACTGGGTCCAAGGGAAGGTGGGGCAGATTCTCTTGAAGCCTACAGCGCTTCTATCTGGAGCTGGGTATAGGCCTCTTGCCCCTGTATGTCTGCAAGTTCCTTACCCCATCGCCCTCTGAGAAATGCCCTAGAGTTCACTGGTAGCTTCGCTTTCTTCTTTTGGCCTTGACTTCCAAGAGCTGAAGGCTGTCTTATGTTGAACTGCCAGAGCTTCCTTTAGTCCAAATTCTGTGTGGAATCACCACCAGTCTGCCAAATACATGCTTCATCATTCAGTTATTTTCTCCCTTGTAAAAGATTTTATTGCCTTTTACTGTACGCTTGCTGATATCTTTTTGGAAAGAGATGACTAATACATCATCACTGTTTTAAGGACAAAGTATGATAAGATTCAGCTCACTTGAAAACCCACTAAAAACAGGCAGTAGATCGAAACAGATATTTCTCAAAAGAAGAAAGACAAATGGCCAGCAGGAGCTAGGTCACTTGGTGGTGCATGCTATAATTCCTGCACTCAGGAAGCTAAGGCAGGAGAATCATGAGTTTGAGACCAGGCTGGACTATGTAGAACCTATCTTAAAAAAAAAAAAAAAAGTACAAGTATATGAAAAAATGCTCACTATCACTAGCCATCGGGGAAATGCAAATCAAAACCACAATGTGAGCTCTCACTTCACCCCGGGAAGAATGGGTATTATCAACACTGCAGATAGCAGGTGCTCGTGAGGATGCAGAAAAAACACAACCTTTCCCACAAATGGTGGGAATGTAAATTAGTACAGCCGTTATGGCAAACAGTATGGAGGGTTCTCAAAAAATGAAAAATGGATCTATCATATGATCCAGCAATTCCACCACTGGGTATATATACAAAGGAAATGAGCTCAACAGGTTGAAGAGACATTTGTGTTCTCAGTTCATTGCAACACTATTCACAGTAGCCAAGACATGGAAACAACTTACGCGACTATCAGCGGATGAAAGGAGAATGAAAATGTGGTACATATATACCATGGAATACTATTCAACCATAAAAAAGAATGAAATCTTGTCACATGCGACAACATGGATAGAACTGGAGATCATAATGTCAAGTGAAATAAGCCAGACACATAAGGACAAGGGCTGCACGATTTCACTTGTGTGTGTTCTCTAAAAAAGTTGATCTCATAGAAGTTGACCGCAGAATGGTGGTAACTGGAAGCTATGAAGAAAGATGAGGAAAGACTGATCAAAAAGCTCTAGTGTTGCACGGTGGGGTGTCCCATACATTTCAAAAAGCTAGAAGAAGGCATTTTGAAATGCCATGAAGAAATGATAAATGAAGAGATAAGTATGCTTAACCTGTAATGAAACATTACCTGGTACCCATTAATGCATACAATATTTGTGTTTTCATATATCAGTCAAAAATAAGTTTGAAAAGGACTGGTGGGGGGCGGTGCTGGAGGTGTGACTCAAATGGTGGTGTACCTGCCTACCAGTGGGAGGAAAAAGTGGGTGACTCACAATGAAACTTAAGGGGAAGAGAGGACCAAGGGGCTTTGAACAGCTCCTGTGTCCATGGGTCTCCAGGAGGCAGGAGGCAGCCTGTGTGCCTATCCAGAAAAACCTGAGAGAGCCTTGGTCTCTCACCTCTGCCTGACCTTGAGACTCTGCTCAAGCAGGAAATGAAGGCAAAGGTAGAGTTACAACCTGGCAGAGGATTGGTATTGTGGTCCAACACATGAATCCATCAGCATGGAGTGGGAGACTTACAGGATCGAAGCATGAAAGGAAATCTAAGATCATGAAAGGAATCTAAGATTACTACGAAGCTAAGGAAACAATTTGACAGAGCTCTCATGTCAATGTGTACACATAACAAAGAATGTATTCTAGAGTCAGTTCAACTCTAGAATTAGGGGCTATTAGTTTAGCCCTCAAAAAAACAAAGAACAATAGATAGCTACAACAAATAATCCTGGGAAGGAGAAGAGAGATCTAATTTCCAGAGTAGTCATATTAGATTATTTTAAATGTCCAATTTTTTTAAAATGTTATAAGACAAGCCAAGCTTGGTAGCTAGGTAGTAATTCTAGTTACTTGGGAGGTAAAGATCAGGAGGATTGCAGTTTGAGGCCATCCTGAGCAATAAGTTAGCAAGACCCCATCTCAACCAATAAAAGAGGTGTGGTGGTGCCTGCCTATCATCCCAGCTATGCAGGAATCATATTTATAGGAGCATCATATCCAGGCCAGCCTAGGCATAAAAGTGAAACCCTATTTGAAAAATACCTACAACAAAAAGGGCTGGTGACATGGCTCAAGTACTAGAGCACTTGCATAGCAAGTTCAAAGCCCTAAGTTCAAACCCCGGTACCAAAAGACAAAAAAGTTACATGACACGCAAAGATATAAGAAAGTATGGCAATAAGAGGACAGTTGATAGTAGCACTCACCAAGAAAGCCAAACTGACTTCCTATACAAAGATATTGCATTAGCTATTAAAATATGTTCTGAGGACTAAGGGAAATTATGTCTAAATAATTAAAAGGAAACATGAAAATTATGTCCCACCAAATGGATAATATCAATAAAGAGATAGAACACATTTTTTTTTAAAAAGAGTCAGGTCTGGGGGTGGTAGCTCAGAGAACAGCACTTGCATATGCAAAGCCCAGATCACTGACACCACAAAAACAAATGAACACGTAAACAAAAGAAGCATGTAGAAATTCTAGACTTGTCAAGTACCGTAACTTAAATGAAAAGGTCTTAAGAGGGACTCAACAGTACATTTGGG